CATAGTGATACCAGTTCCGCCGCATGTGGCAAATACTGCACAATATGAAATGAGGACCGTAAAGAACTATAAAAGTAATATCAATCAATATTGAATACCTAGACAGGATTTAAATTAGTTTACAAACCAACGATAGAAAGTAGACAATCCATAACTCTTTGTGCATACTCATCTCCTGCAATTTCAATATCTGCCTTGTCGCACAAACATTTTTTATCATGAGAAACGTCATGCCTACAGCATGATATATCTTTAAGTGTGGAATCTAAACAGTGTGATTTTTGAACTAAAGATTCCTCTCCAAGATAGCACAGAGAGAGCATTTTCAACAGGTTTCTTGTAAGGTATCTAGCAGTCAGAACAGGTCCAAGTCTGAAAGTAAGCAATAACATCAGCCAAGTTCTGCAAATAATAAAATAATCATTATGAACATACCTATGTGCCAGCCAGATTAAACTATCTGAGCTCATATCAGAAATTCTAGAATTACGATTTGAACCACTTGATCGTGATTTTCTGGATCTAGTTCTTTTAAAACCAGATTCAATCTCTTCGCTTTTCAACTTTTCATTATCAATTTTTTTCTCATCTGCTATGGCTTCACTAATGCTCTCTGTGATAATTAAAGTAATGTCGGTAGCATTGTTGCCGCGTTCTTCAGACAATTCTTCATGAAGATTTTTAAAATCTCCAAAATGCTCTTGCTTGAATTTATCATCCAGAAAATCAGCTCCATTTTCATTTTCTCTGTGGCTTCCTCTGCTTGAGAATATTTAGACGTAAATAAAAACACTCTCAGATTCTGAATCTTGAATAAATTCTGATGTGTTTATCCTCATCAAAGGTAAATAAGTCTTGCTCATCAATATATTTTTCTACAGGTTTATTTATAGATTCCATTGGTCTTAATGTTTTTTTGACAGAACTCTTGCGATGAATATGTTTTGAAGTATATTCTTCTTGCTCTATGTCCCTACATCCCACCAACTGCTTCAATCAAACGTGTAGAAAAGTTATCCAAAAACACATTAAGGCCAAAATCTACTATTAATTTCAATAAGAAGCTATGGTGATACAGTTCACTGATTTTTTTGTGCGATAGACGGATGATAAATTCTTTTCTTCTTCCCAGTCATGCTGTTCATACAATTTCAGAATTGGATCCAGAAGTTGATCTATAGTATCTTGTACTCCTAAAGATTTCGCTATTGGATCAAACAAATACCATGCAGATAGCGTAGCAGTGTCGGGATTATGAAGTAAGTCTTTAAAAAATGGTAATAGTAAATCCACATTGTTAAACTGCTCAAAAGCACTTATATCCAACAACCACTCAATTTTTAGCAGCTACTGTTTTTACCTAAATTAAATTGCATCACCATGTTAGAAAATCAAAAAATATGTTACAACTATTCTATGTTATAAATGCTTATTAAAATTCATCTAAAGCTTCTGATTAATAAATCTGCCTGTACCATAACTTCTTGAATTGTATACGCAAATAAATCAGTTGCAGCTCAAAATTAAATTAATTTATATAGGAATTATATTAACCTTTTATTGGACGTCTTAAACAACTATAGAGTGCGATGGAAAGGGGGCCACGTTTTTATTTTTGGTTGTAAAATGATTAAAAATGAAAATAATTTCTTTTTTTTCAGTTGCAAGGGTATTCAAAAAAGCAACCTTTTATCATAGCAGATGATTGCAATTATGGTTGGAAGTACTTCTATTTTTGAATGCCAAAAAAAGTGTATTTATCGTGTTTTTCGAAAATGTAGAGAGAAGTGGGCCACCCAAATTTATATCTGGAAAATAACTAAATAAGACGTTCGATAATTGATAAAAACACTTTACTGTGCAAAGGACGGCATTACTCAAGTGGCCCGTGTCTGTCCACAAATAGTGGCCCACTTCCACAAACGCCTTTTTTTGCATATGCAAAAACACAATGTAAACAATCGACAAAAATGACTTTGCATTTCAAAGATTATATGCCTATATAATATTTTGCATATTTACTTATATTTTTCTCATAAAAATTCGATGGCAAATCACGTAAGAGCGTACGACGGTAAAAAATTTTCTAAACAAAATTATTAGTGCGTTTCTGTGTACAGTGCGAGAGTAGGTTTATAACGTCAAAATGCTTTTTAAAATTAAGCAAGTATCTAAATATGATAAACATGTGCGCGGTTCGACATACATGTCACAAGTCTTAAGGTTATTCGGGTGGCCCACTCCAACCTGTGGCCCACGTCTGTCCCCCGCACCCTACATATTTGCATAAAATATAAATCAATCAAATAATATAAAACTTTTCATTATAAAAGAATTAGGTAAATCATATTCATGTGATTTATACCACTATGCAAAATAGAAACTGTAAATCACCTTGCATTCTGAAATCTTCTTTACAAAACTCTGTCTAGTATACTTCATGTTCTCAAACTTATCACAATCCTGTCCGTCGCATCTAGAAAAGCACATTATTTCTAAATAGGACAATGACCTATCAAATTCTATGAGTGCACTTAGCATTCCATGCAGAGCTGGGTAGCTACGTGGAAATGGAAACGCTGCACCTCCCAACAAAGGCTGCAGCAATTGATGAGCTGATGGCGGAGGCAACCCTTTCTCAGTAACAGTTGGATACTTAAACCCAGAAAGGCCAGAATTATCTGCAAAGCAATTGCAATTTTAGTCAATTAGGGAAAAAAGACAAATCTAACATAATGATTCAAGATAAAGTTTTGGTATGAGAACACGAGGTTAAATTACACAGGCCTACAACACATTTTTTTCTTGTTTGATGCATCAAATGTTAGAGCTGATTCTTATAGTATTTTTTGCGCTGATTTCAAATCTGCAAACCATTTTTTTGTATCAGCTCTAGTTTGGAACTTGGAAAGAAGTTGCCAAAACCAGGCCCATTCTAGATCGTAACGGAAAAGAACTTTTCACAGTGTCAACTTATGTCCCAACTAAGGCCGAATGAGTCTTGTAAGTTTGTATGTACGAGTAGGCATATCTCATTAAAACAACATTCTGAATGTATTACTATTTTGTACTTTCACTCCTTATACATCATATATATCATATCTTGAAAACTAAAGCTCATAAAAAAAACTAATGTCATTTTTGAAATCAGTGCCCCAAAAATACTTAAAAACAGCATTAAAATCATTTGCACCGTTTTCTTTGTTGTCCTGTGTTATCTACTCATTGCATTTATTAAAAAAATCAATAGCAATGCAATCGAATCATTCCCCTTATTTTGATAAAGGCACTTTACATGACTTTGTACAAAATTGATTGATACGCGACTGTTATGCTAATACATCTAATCTTTTTGAATGTATCATGTAAATTCTGGTATACAAATATTCAAAATATATTCAGGAAATTGCTATTCTCTAACTCTTCGAATGGTGATTGAGCTTTGACTAATGAGAAAAGCCTTATGCTTTCCAGTTTTTCCACGACTGTTCGTATGTTGTGATATTGCTTCATAGTAACATTAAACATTTGCACAACGTTTTAAAAGTCATATGATAAGTATTCAAACCACACATATACATGAAACGAGTTAAAATGTTTAGAAAACATAAAATTAATGTTGTAAGTGGCATTTTGCCTAAAGGAAAGCTGCCTAAACTTCACAACATGTGTAAATAATCGACTTAATCAATAAAAAGTCAATATACTAATTTATGAGTGATTTATAAGTATACGAAATTAGTGTACAACATTATAATGTGATTATTCGATTTTGTAAAATTATTATATTACATACTAGCGGTACCCGATCACGCATTTCTGTGTTATCTTCTATATATATAAAAATAAGTCGGGTTTTCCTTCCTGAAGAAATAACTCCAGAACGCACGAACCGATTTCGACAATTTTGCATTCGTTGGAAAGGTCTCGGGCTCCGCAAGGTTTATAGCTAAGAAAATTAGTGGTGCATGGCATCGTGCCCTGATGCAAATTGCTGGAACTTCATGCACCGTAATTAAAAATTCGAGTAATAAAAATAATCAACAATTGTTTTAAATAATTTCAAATAGATTATCTACATATATATAAAAACAAGTCGGGTTTTCCTTCCTGGCGATATAACTCCAGAACGCACAAACCGATTTCGACAATTTTGCATTCGTTGGAACGGTCTCGGGCTCCGCAAGGTTTATAGCTAAGAAAATTAGTTGTGCATGGCATCGTACCTTAATGCAAGCTGCTGGAACTTCACCGTAATTAAAAATTCGAGTAATGACATTAGTGAGAATTATCAGAATTATGCTTGGTTAAGTCAACGAGCAATTCTTGCCGCAAAGAATAATGATGTACACGCACTGAATTTCACCATTCAATCAAAAGTTGCTGGCGATTTGGTGACATACCAATGATTCCGACTGGTCTTCCGTTTGACTTCAAACGATTGCAATTTCCAGTTCGCCTTGCGTTTGCAATAACAAGTCGCAAGGCCAATCGCTTAGTGTTTGCGGGATAAGTTTCAAATAGATTATTTAGAAAGTCATTGTTTTTCACATGGGCAGTTATACGTTGCCTGTTCACGAGTTGGAAAACCATCCGATTTGTTTGTGTTAACGTCAGACCAAAAAACAAAAAATGTGGTTTACCAAAGAGCACTTCAATGAAACGGATAATTTGCGGATTCACTTTCATTTACTTAGAGAGTTCAACTAAAAAACACTTCATCTTTGTAATCGAAATAAATTCATTACTATTGTATAATAAAATCAAATTTTTCCTTTTCTAATATAAAACAAACAAAAAATTTCTTCATCTTTCTCACGAAAACATTTGGTGGCGAAACGAAGTTCGTCGGGTTTGCTAGTTAATATATAAATATAAATCTAAACAAAAATGCGTTTCTGTTACATCTAGTTATCAAGATGAAAAATAGCGCTGGTATCTTTCGTGATTGATTGTAAAGCTGTATTAGAGGCATCCTTGAGGAAAATATCGCATTCAGCATCCCAATATGTAATATAAACTTATAAGCATATCAGCAGTAATTAAACTGTAAAAACTCTACAATATAAGTCTACTCTACAGTACATGACGCATATTCAACAACCAACAATTAATATATGTTCAGAAAAATTCTTTGTTATTGCCTAAATATAGATATATCTTTTTCTAAAAAATGACCATCTGTCCCCGTTCGCTTCATAGAAGGCAAACACGGGTTTAGCCAAACTAAGAGCCCAATTATTACCCAATTCCAAATACAAATTTCATGAGCCTTTTCTACAAAGATTATACCAAATAATCATCAGTAGAGTTGGGATAACTATAGTGCAGCAGTAAACGGAGCGTTTTAGGTCTGAATTTTTTTACTGTGCTCCGAATTGAATGAAATTTTGGAATTAGGTTCATCTTACCCTCAAGTTCAAAAGTGAAAACAATTCGGGTTGCGCCATCACTCCCCGGAGGGATGACACCCCCTCTCAATTGTGTGATTACATTTTTTCAAAATAACGTCGGAAATCGATAGAAGAACTAATTATAAGAAAAAAATGTCTCTTATAGTTTTTCAAAAAAACTAATACTTTCAACTTACAGGCCACTAAAAATTCATATATTATTGGAGTTTTTCTTCGTTTTTTTGCAAATATCTCCTAAAATATATATTTTAACAAAAATCATGTAATGAACAAAATTATGTCAATAAAAATCTTAATAAATCGGTATTACATAAAGTGTTCTAGGAAAAATATTAACAAGATTTAAAAGAGCAAAGTCGTTTTTTATTTCGTTCAAGATTTAATTGTTGTATTTAAAGCCATCTAGTGTCGAGGTTTTACATTTTATGCATTTCGGTGAAATTGGGTTTCATAGTGCTCAACATAAGCTTTAAAATGAGTGCTGTTACAAGTTTTTTACGTGTAAAATGAGTGAGCTATCATGCAAATAAGAAGCATATACGAAGTTTTTTTCTTTTAAATCGTGTGGTTTAATGAGCGCCATTTACACCAGAATTAAAGTAATTCACATTCCATCTAGAATTCACTTCATTATAGATATCTTGATGGATTCTAGCATATTCACTACTTTAGTACAAACTATTTTCAGAAAATTCACGATTTCATAAAAACTTTTCACTTTTGAACTTGAGGGTAAGATGAACCAAATTCAAAAATTTCATTCAATTCGGAGCACAGTAAAAAAAATCAGAGGTTATACCCTTTTTTCCTCTCCGTTTACTGCACTACTAATAATAACTATTAATTTAATTTATCTCTTTGTTAGTTAAAAATTAACCATGCATATCATAAAACAATTGAATAATGTAAATAAAGTGAACCTTTTTACCTCCAGACCTTTAAGCCCGGCTCTACTCTATCTTTATATTCATTTTTATATTTATATTTACTTTACTTTACATTTACTTTAACAAAATGTCTATCTAAGAAAAAAATAAAGAAATTATCTTCAAAATATTAAAGAAATTGTTAGAGGTGATCAAGCCGTAATGAAAATAAAACACCAAATAAAAATTTAAGCGTTTTCATTAACTTTGAAAAATCTAAAATTAAATTAATAGTTATTATAGTTATTGGAAAGTTAAAAAATTGTATTTTTTGGTAGTTTAAAATATTATGTGAGAATGTAAGTAAATATTTATATATTTTAGTTACCCAAGTTGTCCAATTGTAATAATAGTTTCACAGCACCAGCTACAGAAGAAGGAAGTCCAGCATCTGAATACAGTATTGATATACAATTTCGTAGCCTACTATCAAAGTTGGATGTAGTACCAAATGGGCGTAGACGCTTAGCATGAAACATCTCGACAATTAAACAACCCAATATTTGCATCTCCCGCAAACGTCTCCCTGCAACTATCTGCTTGTAGTTTGGTTTTGATTCGTGCTGGGTTTCTTTTAAACAAAACATATACATAAATATATAATTTTGTATTAAAAATATTCAAAAATTCAAACTTACTTTCGGTGTTATTACATGGTTTTGAATAATTTATACCATTGTCTATCTCCATTGTCATCTTTGCATGTTCTTCCTTGTTGCATTCAGCACTTATATCACCATCATTTAATAATACTTTTGAAGTAAAAGTTTCTAGGTTTTCCAAAGCAATGAGTTGTGAAACAGGATTGTATTCTTTAGGCAGATATAAAATAGTTGTTGATTTAGGATATGTATTATAATTGCTTCTTTCATCGGAACATTGAGATGATAGAGATTTTTGAGATGACTGCGATGGGCTATTATGCATTCTGTTTTGTGAGCAAATATCTTGTTCCCGGCAACATGAGGTCAGATCTTCTGAACTGCGAGTTAGCCTTGGAGGGACTAAATGCCCTGAAAATTATTTGAATAAATATAAACCCACATTTTATAGATATTCACAAAATATTAAACAAATAATGTTATTGACTTCTATCTGCATTTGTGTACATCCTAGGTGGAAGTTTTCCATTAAATGGTCCAGAAATAAATTTGGCAGGATGAGGGTAATCAAATAATTGCACAACGCCATTTTTACTAAGAAAGTAGTTATTTTCACATGACATCAGACAAACATTTTTTGCTTTTATTGCAGCTTGTCCTGCTAGTCTAAAATATTAAATAAAAAAATAAAGAAATAGATACTATCATTTTCTTAATTATTGATTCATATAATTCTATAGCATAAGAACACGTTCCAAGTATTATTTGCACAAATAGTGTAGAATCTACACTGTAGATTATAAATTATTACTAGAGAATGCTATACCGGTATACCGAATTACCGGTAAACCGCCCGATTTTTCGGCGGTATTTTTACCGGTATTTACCTAAAAAATACCGGTATTTTCGGTATTTTTACATAAGCGCTATTTGATACATAATACATTAAAGTTTAAATTTCTCGGAACAAATTTATCTTTAAATAACATAATCGCATAAACAGCTATATCTTCAAGTGATTCTATAAGATAAACAAATGTCAAATATTAACTCAACTCGTCATTAAACTGAATATTTATTGCTTTACTAAGGGCTACATATCGTGTTACAATAAATAGAATTAGACTGATAGATAATGATGTTTGTTTCATCTTATGTAAAAATGTAACAGTTTTTTAAGTAATAATTGCGCCAAAATATTTTATATCATACAGATTACCCCTGCGTGATCTTTATTTTTTTCTTACTTTAATAATTATGATAATTACTAAATATTTTTGCTTCTTCCCACTAAACCAGTTACGTAATATTACGTAATTTTAGTGTAAGAAATATGTAATCTACATTACGTAATCAGATATTACGAAATAATTACAAAAATATTACGTAATTTGCCTGCAAAAAATATTACGTAAGAAAAATGATGATTTTATTTCATATATATTACATAAAGATCGACAGCTCGTGATTTTTCGGAATATTTCGTTTTATGAGCGAAACTGTCAACGGCCTTAAGCGACATAAGTACCGTTAATCCTGCGAGGCAGCCGCCGGCCGCCGGCCGCTAGCCTAGGCTATGATGCCAAGTTAACAAGTTATCCTGAAATGCATCATGGGAGATGGGACTATTCGCCATGTGTTTTAAATTAAGTGTTGTGTTTTGTAGTGTCTAATTTATATTTTTAATTTGCTAATTAAATGTGAAAGTGATATTAAATATGTGAAAATATATGTTTATAATAAATGTATTTTAAAGGCTCTTAAATTACATGAATTACTTAAATCTTTACTCTAAAACGCTCCATTAACCTAAAAATTGATCGTGTGTGTTATTAAATTTTTTTCTAATAATAATTAGATATATAAATAACTTCTATTCTATTCTTCATATTCTAAATATTATTTTATTGTTAATAAAAAATCAGTGACAAATTATTTATAACAGAATCACTTGGCCTTTTGAAAACCATTTGCTTTGTGTAAGTATATAAAAAAACATATGTATTAAAAGTTAAATAGAAATTATTACCATGTTTTTTATTTCAGGTGAAAATCGAAAGCTAATAATTTATATCCGAGATGCATTTCTTCATCACAAATGGGCCATGAAATAGATATCGAGAATGCTTTTGTAGAGAAGACATCATAGACTTATACCACATTTAGTTTTAACTGAAGATACAATTCCTAATTACATAATATATACATAATATGAAATATTTAGTGAAAGAACTTATGAAGACTTTGTAAAGGATACTTCGATGATTTTTATTTCGAGTTTAATTTTAAATTTGCATTTTTCTTATCATTTATCATATTGTATATTTTTCCATTTGCCATGAAAATGTTGATAAATATGTCATATGTAATTACATTATTTTATAAAAATTGTGAATTATTATTTATTACTTTGTGGATTTGCTAATGTTCAAATTGTGTACATATGCCGAAAAAATAAACATACCATATAAATGTGCTTTTTCTTTTATTTTTCAGATAGTATATATATATATATATATATATGTGTGTGTGTGTGTGTGTGTGTATGTACATACATATAAATTATATATGTATGTACATACTATGTGTATACGCTTTCCTAAGTTCATGAATGTATGTGTTCACATATACGCATATGTGTGTATGTGTGTGTGTGTTCATATATACAAATATGCCTGTATGTATTTATGTATGTGTGTAAAAAAGGGCCCCTCCACGTCATTTTTTTTCAAAAATTACGTAATTATTATGAAATATTTTCGTAATCCATATTACGTAATCCACATTACTTAAAATAGGCGAAATTATGACACATATCTTACATTAATCTTACGTAAAAATGACATAAGTATGTAACTTTTTTGCGTAAAAATTACATAAATATTACGGATTTTGGCTTAGTGGGTTATTACAATTATAAAATATTATTTTTTGAAAACGTTTCGAAGTTTGAAAATACTATGGAAGCATCACATTATTTTAAATAACAATACTCAACAATTATAAAAACTTATTATTTATCTCAACAAAGTATCCAATCTTGAATTAGTGTAGAAAAAATACTTTTTTAAAGTCTTTAAAATATTGGAAATTATGCTAATTTAACACATCGGATACAGACAATACAGTTTATTATAATAATGTAATATGATCTTTTATGAGTTTTTGGTCTTTCTTACTCATACGTTTAATTTTGGTGAAAAAAACTCAATATACTCGATAGTGATAATGAAGTAATTAAATTGGATTTAATTTTGTTAAATTATTATTTAAAAAAAAAAAAATGTTTTATTTTATTGTTTTCATTATTTAGTTGAATATAGTTGTAGTTGTATGTACATTTTTTTATATTTGAACTAGTAACTTTCAATTTTGTTTACGTTTGTTTAAGATAATAAAAATACCAGTAATTTACCGGTATTCAGGTTTTAAAATGAAAAATTACCGAAATACCCGTATCGAAATTTTCCATCGGTATTGCATTCCCTAATTATTACTATTCACATAAAATTAATTTTAAAACTTACTTGTATCCAAATGTTAAATCAATCCAGTGATGTAATCTTTCGGATACATATTGGCTCTCTAAGGCCTCCCGATGCCTTGCAATAAAATCTTCAGCACAAGTGGCCCAAGCAGGCAAAGCTAGATCAGCTAAGTCTTCATGAATTGTTTTGAAAACAGTAGGATCTGAATAAAATTCTGGAATGCATTCTTCAGGAGACCATTGTTGTAGCCTGGAAAAATATCCTGAGTTTAAAATTTTTATTGAGTATTAACAATGATTAATTAGGTGCCGATTCATATTGGTCAATTGAAGTGGAATAATTCGGTTACTTCATATTAGTCGATTGAATTCGGGCGATTCAGTTTAGTCGTTTCAGTCGATTGAAGTCGAATGATTCGGTTAAGTCATATTAGTCCATTGAAGTCAAATGACTTATAAGTCGATTGACTCATATGGGTCGTATTCAAATTAAATAATTTATATTTGAATATTTCACATTTTTGAAGTAAAACTTCTTTAGGCGCGACTAGGGTGTAAATCTGTGAGAATGCAACGGAAATTGCGTGACGCTCGAACTGTACATCATTCGCTCTCGGTAAAATCATTTCAATCCTGGTCGATTAGTCGCCGTGTATGTGAATAGAGATCTGTCGTTGTATGCGAACCGGAATCAACGTTGTATGCGTGCCGATATCATAAGGAAATCGGCATAGATAAGTAAACATTTTAAAGTTACATCGTAGCACAAATTTTGATTTAATGAAAAATGACTGAATCAGAAGAATATCTAACCCTGTTCCTTGAAAATAATAAAACAAATTAAACATTTGTGCCGTGTACTAAACGTAAGTTTTTTGATTAGAAATTATTTCTATATTATTCGTAATTTCTATAAATCTTTTAAAATATTTTTTAGGCAAGATAGATATTACAGCTGTTCAAAGAATAAAATTATATCGCCAGCGAAAAAGTAAAAAAAATACAAGCAGTCAATGAATGTATGTTAATTTTAATTATATGAAATACATGATGAGTTGCAAAAACAATATTTGTTTAGGTGTTGTTTAACATAACCCACTGTGTAAACAAATATTATAAAAGTTATTAATCAGCAATTACTTCATTTCTCTATAAAGGTTCATTTCTAAATGCTAATTACAATGACAAACCGATCATGTCATATTTGAAGTATGACTTATATACATCATATTGTTTTTAAATATTACACATATTTTTAATGCTATTATAAATATATAATTTATAATTTATCATTATATAAATGTGTATAAAGGTTGAAATGTGTACATCACGAGTGTTACCATATTACTAATAAACATCAAAATTGTTATATAATGTATTTATTTTTACTTAAATGCCATCTTGTACAGTAGCAAAAAAGTTTTAATCGCGAACCTTACGCGCATTTTTTTATTATATTTATTAAAATATTCTCACATATTGTGTCTTAAACAATCAAATTATCTGGTGTAAGAGATCACAGTAAATATTTCTCGGCTTGATACAAGATGATTTGAAACGAGTAAAATCTAATTCGAACCGGTTGTCGTTAATATCGTATTTTGAATAATTCAAATCACTTGTTTTAACTTGTCACATAACTAATAAAGATATTTTACCTTTGTATAGAGTTGGGATATTCAGCAGGAACCCAGAGTGGCCTGACATGTTTTGTTAATACTGAACGATTTGTTCTTCGTGCCATATATACATAGTAAGTAATATCAGATAACACATCTGAAATATGATGTGGTATCTGCGGTACATCATCTGATTTTGTAGTTGACTGAGAATATGTAAGATCTAACTGATGATCACCTTTTAGAAAATATTTACTGATTATAAAATCAAATTCAACACAATACATCAAAATGTAACATCAATTAAAATTTATTAATAAGTTACCTTTATTAAGCCTATATTTAGATTTTGTTAAGTCTCTCCAGTTACTTCCCGATTTTGATGAGAAGTCTGTTACCCAAGGCATTACATGATGATTACCAGGCTCACCTTTCCGTCGGCCAGCCAGTACATTTAATACAGTTAAATAATCAAAGTTACTAATTTGTCCATTGCACCACTTTTTTGTTATAGATTTCAAACAATTTGAGCACACACAGTTGCTTTTGTAGAAATTTGCATCTTTTTTCGGTTCAGATAATTGATCAATTTTGTGAAGAATTTCATTTAAGTTATCATCTAATTTTGGTATTACTTGGATCCATAAGTTTTCATCTAAATATATATCTTCTAATAATATATCTCCTAAAAATATTTTTTTTATTATTTTTAATAATTGCAATACCTCATTGTAAAATATGCTGCCTGCATATATTAAAATTTATATTAAAAATAGTTCAATTCTAAAAATGTGTTCTTTGGAGCTATCATGGAATTATGCCAGTATCTCAAATTTGTCAAAGAATTAGGGACAAACTCGTGGTTCAGTAAAATGACGGCTATTTCTAAAAATAAAATTCTACAATTCATAATTATTTTCTCTAATAATCTTACAAATCTAATTTAAAAAGCAGAACAGCTTAATTCTTTCACTTTCCTATTTTTTGAAAAATCATCTTTAAAGTCTAATGATTCCTAGCATATCTTAATATGGTATATTTACCATAATTAATAAATAAATAATTAAATAAAATTATATAAATATTTATGTAAATATATATATATATATATATATATATATATATATATTGTAGAGTTTCGAACAAGAATCCAAAAGTAATAAAAAACAATAAAAGTTTTTTGAAAAATAATTTCTTTATATATATATATATATATATATATATATATAAGATTTAGATTTTTTTGCTCGACGTTGAGACATATCTTAAATGTTGATTTTCAGCCAATCGTCGAAATAAAAGAAAACAAATAAATAATGAAATTCATATGTTTTGACACGAATTGTGTGTCATCATTCAGAAACTCTTTTTGAAATGTTTGTTAATACATTATCTAAAAGAATTTTTACAAAGTTTAAAAATATTAAAATTTAAAACATATTATAGATTGAAAGATAAAATGACAAGTAAAAAATTGATGCATACCACACCAGGAAAAAAATAAAAAAAAAAATTTTTGTTAACTAACATATAGAAAATAAACAATATAAAGTAAACATTTTTTTCGGTTTTAAATTTAAACTGAAGATTTGCGTAATATAAGTTCTGAGCAAAGAACTGAACGTATCGGATGAAAAAAGACAAAGGCAAATGAAGGATGTTGTGGAGAAGATAGTTAAACAGTGGGGGCACAATTTGAGAAAATAAAAATATAAAAACATAAAATCAAATAGACTATGAAAAACACAAGAGTCAAAGATTTGAAAAACTATTTTATAAAAATTATTAATATTATGTACTAACAGAGCAGAATTTCGTTTATTAACACAAAGGGAGTTTATAAAGATAAATACTGATTCAGCAAATTTTCTGAAGTCACCATTCTTTTTCTTATATAAAATAATAGAATTTTTGGTATTGAAAGTACGGTTTAAACTAATGACATATTCCAAAAACATTGTCTAAAACTGATTTGGATTCTTCGAATTACAAATGTGTTGGTTCATTTTCTTGCAAATATATTGCAAACTTTCGCCAATATAACAACAATCGCAATCATTGCAATCCACTTTGTAAACAGGATCAGTAATACGCTCAACAGGAGTTTTAGATTTTAAGGAAGTCAAAAGCGAGTTGAAAGTATTGTCAAAAGTAAAAACTAACAAAAACCTTCATTTAAAAACAAATTTTTTAGAAAGATTGAGAAACTACCTAAATATGGCAAAGAAAAGACTGCTTTGTATTTGTTTGTAAAAGATGCATCTGAATTAGTCAGAAGAGAACTTTTTGAAACATCATCAATGATATAATTATCAGACTGAAAATTAAAAAAAACTTATTTTTGAATGTTTTTAATTACATTGTTTATTAAATGTAAAGGGTAAGAATTATTAATAAGAAAGCTCTTATGCTTTCACACAACTTTAAACTTAAAACCAAAAAAATGTTTATATTGTTTAATTTCCATATGTTAATTAATAAAAAAAAAATATTGTTTTTCCTGGTATAGTATGTATCAAATTTTTACTTGCCATTTTATCTTTCAATATATAATATATTTTAAAATTTAATTTTTTTAAACTTTGTAGAAATTCTTTTAGATACCGTATAACAAAAATTTCAAAAAGGGTTGCTGAATGATGATGACACACAATCTGTATCAACACATACAAATTAATATTTTATTATTTATATTTTAGTTTTCTTTTATTTTGACGATTGGTTGAAAATCAATATTCAAGATATATATATATATATATATATATATGTATATATATATATGTGTGTGTATATATATGTATATATATATATATATATATATATTATTTATGTATATACGCATTTAAAATATTTAATTACTATTCTTACCTAAAACTAGTCCTTTATCATGCATTGATTTCAGAACACTCACCAATTGATAAATAATAAATAATGATTTGTTATAACATGATCCCAAAATTGAGGGACTATATGTAACACAGTCTTGTAAATTATGTTCAATGTAAGAATTATGAACAAGAAATATAAATGATTTTGTTTCAATACCACATAATACTGGGTATAGATTGATGTTTGTTTCAAACATTTTAACATATTGGGATTGATCAACTTCTCCAGAATTTACATTATCTTTAGTAATAATATGACAGCCATAAGTTCTAGTGATGACTTCTTTCAGAATATTGTCATAAGGTACAGGGTGAAATAATAAACTTTCTTTATGTCCGAAAGAATATTGATTATTGTATCTTTTGTGGGCAGCCTTCCATAGATTTTTGTGATTACTTTGTGAAACATAATGAAGAAGTTGACAATAAGATAAGGGAGGCTCTTGGCAAGTATTGGCATTAATCACATTGCATCGGGGTAATGGTATCACTTGACTCGGTTGCTTTAAAAATACCTAAAACAAAGTAATAAGATCTGTAGCATTAATAAAAATGGAACTAAAAAAGACATAATTTTATAAACTTCCCGAAGGAGAAGTTTGTTTTCACAAAAAAATCCGATTCGCTAATTTTATGTTTTCTCGAGGTTTCAAGCCATTCTGAATCGAATGAGACCAAATTTGGAAGAAGTATGTGTCTGTGTGTGTGAACAGATTTTTTGTAAATTGACGTTTTTCTCAAAAACGGTTAGACCGATTTCAGAAATTTAAAAGCCATTTGATGGATCTCAATGAGGACTATCGTTTGTCAGTTTTGTGCGACGATCTGCCAAGCCGTTTCTTTGTAATTTGAAAAAAAGTGTTAAACTACTAGTGTTAAACATTTAAGCTCATCCTACCGAACCGATTCTAAAAAATCAAAAATTGTTCGAAAGATATTAGTTGGAAATGATATTGATTAGTTTTAGGTAAAAATCTACCGAGCCGTTTTCTTGTAATTAACTGTTGAAAAAAAAAATTCAAGCGGATTTTTATGGAACTTTTTTTGGCGATATTAATGCCTTACGACAAGTAGCTTAATTTTAAAAATTCATCAAAGTTTAAGAAAATTAGTAGTTTTGTCGACGTTTGTTAACATTAAAATTAGACCATTTACTTGATATAACTATAGAGTACTTGGTTTCAATGAACATACTAAACCATTAAAGTCCTATGGAAACTGGTTCAATTATATTGTTGATTGATTGATTTTTGAAAATTTGCTATTAGAAAATACTCCGAGTTAACGTGTTCGTTCGTTTTCAATTATGTGTAATAAACCCACTCGGAATACTTCTAATCACTCATAAATTAAATTATTTTTTATTGATTAAGTTGATTATTTGCACATACCGGGAAGTTCATGTAACTTGCCTTAAGGCTAAATACCAAACCAACTAGTTTAATTATTTAATTACAATTACATATTTTTTATGTATTCGGATAATGAAATGATACCTCTTTCATAAATATAGAGTATAGAGCTATTTTTTTTATTCTGTTTTACGTTTTTTATTAATTTCGGTTTGAATACATTCTATAAACAAAATTTTAAATGAAAAATATCTGTAGTAGATAATTCATCTATTTATGAAACAGTATGATTGTTTATAGTTAAGCAATGAAAATGATTTTGTATGTGAAATAATAGTTTCTGTATCATATTTTATGAATAATAACTTTTATTCCACACTTTTAGCGTTAATATAATTCTTATCAGTTTTAATTAATTTTAGTAGGTTTTGATTGAATGAAGGCTTTAGTAAAAATATGATTTTACTAAAGTTATGTACAAAAATTGAAATATAGCATACAGAATCAAGAAAACTGATATCAAATATATTTATTATATTTTATTTATATAGTTAACTATATAAATTATATTACTACTATGAATAATTATTTATAAGCAAGCCGTAATCAATAATAATAAATATTATTATAGGCTCCCATCAGGCTTATTCATAATTAATAAATAAAGTCAAATTAAACTAGTTGAAATCTAAAAACTAGTACCTTTATATAAACTCTGGCCCAACTTTCAAATTTAATATCATCATCCTTCCAGTTGGAAACTCCAGTATAAATTTGGTTGTCTATTAATTCATTATTAGCTAAAGATTTAACCCATGATTTGTGAACTAAGCATAACAATTTATCTGCTTTAATTAATTTTATTTGGTTTTGGTGCACTCCGAGTTCTTGGCTGATATTTTCTACATTCATTTTTAAGAACTATGGTAATATTATAATAATTGTGCAATATCGTGCCAAAAATATTTTCAGCCAAATAAAACTTTAAGTGTAATTTACTGTGCTACATAATTTTAATTGTTTACTCTAGCGAACTTTGGCATTATTTTATTTACATCGTTTGGTGATATGTCAAATTTTGACATTTTCTCTGTATGTTTTCTTTTGCTAAAGACATAGATAGTACGGGATAGGACAACTAATATAAATTATTGTATTGAAACAAACATTAACAGAGGGAGCAACATAGAACAAATTATTAATTTAGTTTGATTTGATGATAAAATCATAGATAAGAAGAGTATAAATATAAATAAAATGTATGGATAAAATGATAAACACATAGATAAATATATATGAATAATATAGATCATTATACTTGAAATGATAAACATACATGAATAATATAGATAATTATACTTGTTTAACTATGATATAGATAAGGGATAAATAAGCATGAATCAACATTTAAAGTTTTATGAACATAAGATATTTAAGGCTAGAAATATAAATTAGTGATGTGCATGGCATTGTGCCTTAAGGCAAATTGCTGGTACTTCCCGTACCGCAATCAAAGAAATTGGTACGGAACCCAACAAAATTTACTCAAAATGTGTACACATTATTAAAATCTCTATGAAATATCTGATAATTTGATGTACATATGTCCAATAAAACATTTTTAACCGCCAAGCAACATTTTCTTAACTTATTTTTATTGAGAGTCCATAACCGCTAGACCTGCCTTCCCAAAAATTTAATCATTTCTTCATCTCGTCAATGCAAGTAAAACGTTTTTTGAATTATTAAAATCGGACGCTCCGTTCTCTTAAAAACTGAGTTACCGTTTTTTGGCACTTTTTGCCCCGTATCTTTGGAACGGCTAGACCTGCCTTCGCCAGAAACTAATTTGCACGTCTCCTTATCAATACGAATCGAATGTTTTTTAAATTATTCAAATCGGTAAATCCGTGTTCCCGAAATTGTCGACGAAAATTTGTATCCGCACACACACATACGTCATTTTTTTTAAAGAATGTCAAAATATTCAGAAACCTTTGAAACGTAAAGATATATAAAATTTTTCACTTTCGATTTTTTTGCGATTACTATAACTTACTCTACGGGAAGTTAATAAATAAAAACTGATCAAAAATGTTGTTTGTACTGATCATAATATGTAAACTAAATACTTCGAATTTTTTTTGGTTTTTGACCAAATTTATTTAGTTTTACACCATGAATTCTACGTGCTAGAAAGTTCCAGGAATTGTCATAAATTTAAAAAAAATGCAAATAAACTTCACCAATTTTACTAATAAGTATATTTATAACTGGTTGTTATTATCATTGATTTCATTATAATAATTTGCATTCTTCTACAAATACCAAATAATCCATTTATTTTATATAACTCTAAACAACGCTGGTCCTCATCAATAGTTATTAAATATAACCGTTTTTGAGGAAACGCCGACAAAAGGTCAAATTCACATACACACAAATTTACAGTTTCCAAATTTGAGGTCAAACAATTCAGAATCCTCACCTGCCCAAACAAAGGGCAAACATGTGATAGACTAAATTATATCCTTGAAAAGAACTGGCAATAGCCAGTTATTTTTTTCGAACCATTATATAGTTGTCTAAAGTAAAAACATTTTATATAGATTGCTATGATATTCTGGTCAAACTTTTCAGGAAGTTAATGTACTTAAGATACATATATTTGTATTAGTAAAATTGTCTTCAAATATATTAGAAATTTGAATTCCAAAAATTAACAAAGAAAAAAAGGTTTATCTTTTGATCTTGTTTTATTTTTAATCCACTAACACAATTGATAAAAAAATATGTATGCGGAAGAATTCATAAGCACAAATGGTCGGAAGTCAAAGTTTCTCACAAATTACTAAATGATACACATTGAAAATAAAACAATCATTTCTGGTAAAGTAAAATTTATTTGAAATTGTTAGAACATAAATTTCAAACATAAGTTTTATATAAAATCAGCAACCAAATTTTTGGTTACGGACTTTGCATAATTTATAGAAAAATGATACAAATATAAACAAATATGTATATAATATAAAAATATAAAAACAGGAATGTCTAACCCTAGTGTTAAAATTGCAATTTTAGTGAAAAGATTTAATTAAAATTTACTATTTCAAATTATTTTAAATGAAAGCCTGTAATTCAAAATTTATGTAGTAAAATGGCACAATCAAACATAATGTACATAAGACATTGATCGAGATAAATATAAAATATTTGGTACAAGCCTTGCTTTTTATATTGAAGACTAAAACCAAATTAGCAGATTAAATTTGATAAAAAATAGGTAAGTTGATGCTTTAGAAATGATTGCAGGTATGCCAAAATATATGGTGCCAATAGCTAATCAAAAATTGCCATATTTTTTAAGAACTAATTTTTATAAAGTGATAAAAACTCTAAGATATTCATGACATAAACAAAATGAACCAATACCTATATCCTTGGTGCTACTGCTGATTTCTAGAACTCTCTTTCAGGCACATACAATTGGTCAAGCATTTGATCTGCAAATAAAAATATTTATGAAGTCCAAGAAATTCAAACATAATTTATAAATACAAGCATAAAAAATCAGACAAATGCCTTCTTAAGTCGTTCAAAAGTTACCTTCAGGAGAATGGTATAGTTGACATCACATTATAAAAATAATAAAGGTAAAAAATAATCCAGTTTCATAATTTACCTTAAATCTGACCAGTCCTCCAGGCACCAGTAAGGTTCTCGCATCTGTAAACCAACAAATGCACTAAGTAAATTTTTAGTGAATAGAAATGAGTATGCAGAACATGTGTAAATAAATAATCAGACAAATGCCTTCTTAATTCGTTCAAAAGATATACCTCAGTAATTGGTATAGTTTTCTTCATTTAGGTATATTGAAAATTATAATTTTTAATAAATGGAAGTTCACCTTAACAGCCAGCCAGAGCCTGCGTGAGGAAGAAACCTAAAACAAGAAGAAAAATGTTGTCAATACCTTGGATATTATAAAATTTATTATCAAATAAGAGAAATCAGACAAATGCCTTCTTTAAGTCGTTCATGAGATATACTTCAGGAACATGGTATAGCTGTCATCATATTAGTTAAGAGTCTATATTCAATCACATATTTTATTATTAGAACTTAAGGTAGCAATACCATTTGCATCAATAGAAAATATTTAAAAATCAATAGAATTAATTGCTAAAACAACAAAATTGAAGTTGAAAATTCAATCAAAATTAAACAAAAAAGATTGAATTACTGTTATAGTTTTTAACATGGCATTGTACTGGTCAAGAAGTAGTCAAAAATCCAAGGACCCTTGAATTTTATTAATTTATAATTAAAATTAAACTAAATATTAAGAGCATTATAAATCTGCTTTGCAAACAATTGAAAATAAAATTAAGATTACAATCAAATGTAAGGAAATCAATCGAAGCTCACCTTCAATATTGCAGAATATTTCTAATCCACATCAGAGCATTGTCTATTATGAGAGGATATTTTTCTGCATCCTAACTAATCTGCAAATAAAATATTATGGTTAATATAAAGAGTGCTATTCAAATGCATATGGCATAGATATAAATTTGTTTATCAGACAAATGCCTTCTACAATCGTTCAAAAGATGTACCTCAGTTATATGGTATAGTTGTCATCATGAAAAATAGCTCAAGAATTACATAAAAATATAATAATTTAAATATTTTTTTAAATTTATTTATAGTATCAATATTTAGAAAAAAAATTATGTATATTTCTTGTACATACAAGTCTAAAAATGTTTGGCAAAGTCGAAAAATATGAGCCCAAACATAGATTAACACAATATCATAAGGAAATTTATGGAACCATATTTAAATGTAAGGTAATTAATCAAAGCTCACTTTCAGTATTGCAGAATGTTTCTAATCCACATCAGGACATCATTGTTTTTATTATCATTTATTTAATTTATTATCAGAGGATATTGCCTACATCCAACCTAATCTGCAAATGAAATATTATGGTTAAAATGGAGTACTATTCAAATGCATATGGCACAGATATAAATTTGTATATCAGACAAATGCCTTCTACAATCGTTCAAAAGATGTACCTCAGTTATATGGTATAGTTGTCATCATGAAGAATAGCTCAAGAATTACATTAAAAATATAACAACTTAATTTTTTTATTATTTATTTATGGTATCATTAATATTCAGAAAAAAAATTAAGTATATTTCTTAAACACATATAAGTCTAAAAATGTTTGGTAAAGTTGAAAAATGTGAGCCCAAAAATTGATTAACAATATATGGAAATTTATGGAATCATATTTAAATGTAAGGTAATTAATCAAAGCTCACCTTCAGTATTGCAGAATGTTTCTAATCCACATCAGGACATCATTGTTTTTATTATCATTTATTTAATTTATTATCAGAGGATATTGCCTACATCCAACCTAATCTGCAAATGAAATATTATGGTTAAAATGGAGTACTATTCAAATGCATATGGCACAGATATAAATTTGTATATCAGACAAATGCCTTCTACAATCGTTCAAAAGATGTACCTCAGTTATATGGTATAGTTGTCATCATGAAGAATAACTCAAGAATTACATTAAAAATATAACAACTTAATTTTTTTTTTATTTATTTATGGTATCATTAATATTCAGAAAAAAAATTAAGTATATTTCTTAAACACATATAAGTCTAAAAATGTTTGGTAAAGTTGAAAAATGTGAGCCCAAAAATTGATTAACAATATATGGAAATTTATGGAATCATATTTAAATGTAAAATAATTGAAGCTCACCTTCAGGATTGCAGGATTTTTCTAATCCACATCAGACATCATTGTTTTTATTATCATTTATTGAATTTATTATAAGAGGATATTGCCTGCATCCAAACTAGTCTGCAAATAAAATATTACGTTTAATACAAAGTACTAATCAAACACATATGGCATAAATATAAATTTGTATATCAGACAAATGCCTTCTACAATCGTTCAAAAGATGT